GGGGGGGGGGGGGGGGGGGGGGGGGAAGTCCGGGGGAAGGAGGGGCCTTGGGAGTGGGAGGCGGAGGGCGGGGCCTGGGAGTCTGCGGAGGGGCCCTAAACCGGGAGGGGTTTCTATGGGGACGAGGGGCGCTGGCGCGACTTACGTGGGTGAGAGCGGGAGGCCCGGCGGCCCGCCCTATCGAACCTACCGGGAACCCCCTTCCCCGCTCGCGGGTTGTCACTTTAAAGGCCTTCAGCGTCCCTCGCAAGGGTGGGGGCCTGGTAATTCCCCCACACACACACACGTCACCTCCTCTCTTTGCACGCGTGCTGGCGCTTAGCCGTGTGGACCCCCGGCGCCGGATGGAGTGGGACCACCCCGGTTCCTGCTGCGGAGAGGCGCCCCTTTCTGCCCATGCTGCGGGGTTCAGCAGCGCCTCAGCTGCAGAAGAGCCTTTGCGCATCCCTGGAGGAAGTGTAGCGGCCGGAGAGAGGTCTTTCCGGGACAATCCTGATAGGGTGCTGAGGAGGAGGGCTTGGGACAAAGCGAGTCGCGTTTACTGTTCGTTTTGGATAAAGGCCTTTATAGGGAGCGTGGTGGTAGGTATAATGGATGCTAATCGGAGGAGATGCTGAAGTATGGGGAAATCACTTTGCCTCCCTCCTTTGCCTCATGTAATGAAATGAAGAGGTCAGATACCCAGAAGACTGTCATACCCCAACTTTTAATGAAATGTATTTTGCAAGTTAAATCCAGATCTCAAACCTCTACCAACTTTGATATTTCATTTAGGACTGCAGAACTGTATGGCTGCAAAAAGAGAAAACGGTGTTACTCTGAAATTTTAGTTGTTCTTTTACGTAGTGTGATGTTTGTTACTGTATACTAAAGGTAGGATTAATGTGAGGCAAATTCAACATCTTCTAAGGCTGTTATGCTGCGCTCCTGGATGCATTCTTCTTTCTTTTTATAGTAATTGTATTAAAAACTACAATTACAACAATAAAACTAAGACAAGCTAAAAAAAAAAGAAAAGCATAAAAGAAAAAAAAATAGAAGGTGCAGCAAGGAGAAAAAATAGAAAGAAAAATAGAAAAGAAAGAAAAAATAAGAATATTGTAAAGAAGAAGAAAATAAATATATAAAGAAATAACTTCCCCCTTCATCACAACAAGTATAAACTATTTTAGTAACGTATCACCTTCTCTTAAAACAGAACAAATGATCTCTTCTTCCCATATATAACAGTTATGCTATAGCTGTTGCCTTAGACATTTTCTTAGCCCTTAGTCACAGACTTCTTGGGAGTGGTTTGGGCATGTTAACCTCAGCATCTCGCTAAAAGGACATGTCAGTGCGTTATTTCTTCTTGCTAAGTTTGGGATTGCATATGCCAAATCATTACTTCAGAAATTAACATTGTCATTTAAACTGATAGACAACCTGGTGTCAGTTACATTGAGGGAGCTGGGAAACACCTCAGAAATCAGTCCCTACTTGTGTAGGAAATTCACAGCTTGTTTCTTGTGATATCTTGAGAAGTACTACATGAATTTAAATGACATTTTCCATATAAGAATTCCCAGATTTCATTTTTTCCATTTATTATACATAAATAATGCAAAAATTAGTGGGGGAAATACCCTTTGAAGGCTCTTAGTAGCTGCATTATCAGAATATAAATCTGGAAAATAAAATAGATTGTTTTGGCTTCATCACATGGCAGTCTAATCTTTTCTCTTTGTTCTGAGCAAATGCTGGAGAGTGAAAATGAAAGTGACATTTGGCAAATAGAATCCTGTGCTGTCCACAGGGATACCTGTACTATGTTGGCAGGGAATGGGACTAGACCGGTGTCTGCTTGGGGCTCAGCAAGAAGCCTTCACTGCCAGTCAAAGCAAGCTGAGATTCTCTGGTTACCACTTCAGAGATGTTTATGATGTGGTTCAGTATTAAGCTGATGCATATTTAAGGTGTACCTAACCTATTAAATACACTGCATTATAATAGGGGGGAAATACAGGGGGAGTGATATAAATGGAAAGACATCAAAGATTTTCTGGGATTTTTTTTTAAAGCCAGCTTCTGCTCCCATTCATATCAGTTCTTAAGCAGCAACAACATCCTATCTGGAAACTAACTGTCTTGCACTCAGCTGCTCTGAGTTTAACTTTAAATAATGGAAAGGTATCATATGAGAGCAGACTAGCTCATGATGGCTGAGGTACCCATTTGTCCTGTTGCATTCTCTCTAAGATGATTTTCTATGTCGACTGCTTTTGTGGGGGCTGTAGTCATATCCTGTCAAATAAAATCCCCACCACAAACTGCTATTCTTTTGCAGTTATTCCTAAATCAGACTAAGGCCTAAAAATTGCCTTCAATAAGGAGTATTGCGCTTACTGGTCAGTAATATTAAATCCCAAGCAAAAGCATCATGCTTTGGTTTCTGTTGAAAGTTTGTTATAATTGTGGACCACATTGCTAGTTTGTGTGCAGTTTTAGTAGTTGCACCTCGAAAGAAATATAGGTTCAGAGGAGATGAAGATGATCAAGGGGCTGAAGCAGCTTCCCTATAAGGAAAGGTGGTGGCATTTGAGGATTTTTAGTCTAGAAGGAGGTGAATAAGAGAGGATATGACTGAGGTATACAAAATTATGCATGGTTTGCATAAGGGAGCAGCTATTTTCCCCTTTCCAAAATAGTAGAACCAGTGGTCACCCAATGAAATTGAATCTTGGAAGAATCAGGACAAACAAAAGGAAATTTTTTTTACACAGTGCATAACAAACTTTGGAATTTGTTACCATGAGATGTGCTGCTGGCTGCCAGCTTGGGTGGCTTCAAAAAGATTCATGGAAGTCATGGGGATCAATGACTATTAGTTTTGATGGCAGTTTTGAAGGCCATCTGCTGGGAGACTAGTGGGTTTCCATGTGCCATTAGTTGGCCATTGTGAGAACAGACTGCTGGACTAGATGGGCCAGGGGTCTGATCCAGCAGGGCCCTATGTGTGTTCTTATGTTCTTTTATATCCTCAATATAGCTTCTACCAGCTCAGGGTTTTGCCCTTTTTTAATTTGCCATACTAATCTGACAATCCCTCCATATGTCTCCAGGCATTTGTTCCTTGCCAGAGAGATTGACCACAAAGAATCGCCAAGATAGCTGGCTCGGGAAGAAAACGTCGCACCCCTGACCCAGAGTCTGTCACCGACCCCGGTGGGCTGTTTGTCTCATCCAAACGGCTGAAAATGTCCAGTAGTGCCAGCGTCCCTGGTCAGAGGAGAACAGCTCGGGGAGTGGATGATGCAACTAATAAGAAGAAACAAAAGGATCGGGCCAATCAGGAAAGTAAGGAAGGCGAGAAACCAGCTGGCAGTGACTCAAAGAAAGGTATGACTTTATGCCATAGGTATCTGTCACTGCATGTATAAATTAAATGGCATGTATTACTGAGACTTGGCTGGGACCAGAAGAGGGGGGGGCTTTTGGAAGTGTGCCCAGCCAGGTTTCAGATGTGGCATCAGATGAGACTCCAGGGCAGGAGGTGTGGCGATTGTCATCCGGAAGTCTCTAAAGGCTTTCAGGGGCGCTGCTCCACAGATTGCCAGATGTGAGACCCTGTTCATTAAGTTGGGCTCTAGGGATCAGTTGGTTCTCTGGCGCCACTCTCCACCTCCAAGCATCGCTGCTCATTGACCATATCACTGGGACTGATGAGAGATGGAATCCACGACAACTGGGAAGACCACAGAGTCCTCACCCCTATTTTAAGCCTTGTCTGGCTTGTTAATTTTTTCTCTGTGTTGCTTTCTTTGCCTCCCTTTTGGTCTGTGCAAGTCCCTTATTCAGGCAGCAACAGATAGTTCTATCAGGGTACTCTGGTTAAAATGTAAACTGTAATATATGAATGCCCTGCCTCAAAGTTAGGACAGAAAAATCCTTTGTTCACATGGTTCATAGCAAAACAGCACATCTCTGTATTTGTTTGATCATCAGAGCCTTTTCCTAGTCTGAATCTGGTAGAGCCCAATTGGCACAGGGAATCTGTGGAGGGTAAGTCAGAAGAATGCATAACTAAATGAAGCTCCAGCCACCTAATTTGTTCTCATGTGTTATCTTACATTGCCTTACCTCTGGCCTAAGGATTAATTCCCTAAATCTCTAGAAGTCTAACAGCCTGGCATGCCGTAGAAGAAGCATGACAAAGAAATAGCTGGTCTTAAAAATAAAGCTTTGTTCCTGCTTGATTGAGGTAGGGATGGCCCTATTACTATTACTATGAGCTATGGAAAGCATGTTCTAAGACCAGCTAAGGGCAAGAGGACATGAGGTCAGTGCACAAGAGAGCCAGAATCATCTGCTTTCTCAACTATGAGTGTATTTCCCATGGGATATTACTGAGGGATCTCTCTCTCTTTTTCCATATCAAGGCTTGGGTGTGATTGAATCAGGATGCCACACTGTTTCTTGACAGATGCCATCCTTACATGATTTGAGCCAGAGACTGAGTAAATATTTAGTATTCTGAGTTTATCTAGTGTTCAGTGTTCAAACTGATTCATGTACATGATTTCCACAACCTGCACAGTTCTATCTGGTGTTGGCCTCTAGCAATCCCTTTGAGTTAGGAAGCTCAGGAGGGCATCAGAGGGCTGGGAAGGAGGAGTCATCATGCCAAAAAACTGTAATATGCTCTGGCACAAAGGAGAAGATGGTTGTATCTGCTGTTAGCGCCATGATTCCTAGAAAAGCCATCTGAAGGCATGACTATGACCAGTAGCCACCCTGGATATGAGATAAAACTAGGAAAGTTTCCTAAAGGCATCTAATAAGTTCATATCTAAGTTGAGATATTATGTAAAATAGGCTGCAAAGACTCACAGGGGCCATTTAACCATTGAGTTGCAGTAATTCCAATATATTGTTTACTGTGTTGGTGTTGAACATTGGTTTTTACTTTTTTCTGCAATAGCTAACAGTTTATGTAATCGCCATTGTAACATTCTGTGTGGCAATGATTTCTCTGTATTAATTATGCTATGGATCAAAAGTACCTTCCGTACTGTGTTACTAACTATCCATAATAGTCTGTTTCATATTCTCTTCCCCTTTTGGGAAGTTAGCTGTTACTTACCACTCACAGATGAGAGACTGACATTGTTTGTTTCCTAGACCTGCAGCTGGAGTGGAAGCAGAATGCTGATGAGGTTATTGTGAAACTGAATTTGGGCAGCAGGATCCCAAAAGTGGAGGAAGTGGATTCATCTTTCACAGACACTGGCTGTATCATCAAGTTACCTGGTATTAATGCAGACTTTCTTTCCTTATTGATAGAGTTCTTAATTAGCAGAGCAAAGAAGAAATAGTTTCTCCTTTATTCAGTTTCTGGTCACCAGCAGCAATAAATAAATAAAAATCCCTTTCCTGAAACAGGCAAAATGAGAGAGCAGCTTTATTGTGCCAGATGTGTGGGTCATGCAGAACTTGGGACTCCCAGCTGTTCCAGGAACAGAGGGGCCATCACCTAGCTCTTTCAGCAAAGTGTGACTAAAGTTTAGATGTTAACGCGCTATGAGAAATCAGAAATATTGTCAAGGAAAGTAAGCAGTTGTGAAAAGGAACACTTATGACTTTTCTGAATAATATTCTTGATTACAAAGCTTTGAGTAAAGAGGACTGAGAGTAGCTAGCATCACTATTGTGTGCTTCATGTGCCAGGGATGTTGAGGGAGTTTTCCATCTAGCTAGAACAGAGCCATATAACCTCAGGCCCCTGAGCTCCACGTGCTCTCTGAAACCTGCAGTTGCAGCCAAGTTGTAACTCTTAATGTGATAGAAGAGGGAAATGGCAATTATCATATTGGTTGATTGATTATATGCCATCAAATCAGCATTGACTTTTAGCAACCACATAGATAGACTTTCTCCAGGAGGATCTGTTCCCAGTCTGATTCTTCAGGTATT